CCGTTGTGCTGTAGCAGCTCTGGGCAGCAAACCCCATGCTGCTGTGCTTTGCTTGCTCTGCCAGCTCTGTGCAGTGGTGGTGGGGGAGTTTGCTGTGAGCAGGCATGCAGCGAAGCAGCTCACACCTCCCTCTGACACGCAGCCCATACCTAAACCTGGGCTGATACTGTGGCTGGAGCCAGGGAGGGGGTTTCCCAAGCCCTGAAGAGCCCCAGGGCTGCAAACCAGGAAAGTGCTTCTAATAAAACCTATCAGGCCAAATTCCTATCAGGCTTAATCTCATTGTCTCATCCTAACACTTTGCTCCCTCCCAGCACTGTTTTCCTGGCTGGTTTCTACCCCAGAGCTCTCTCCGGGATAAGGGTCTTTGGCAGGCAGCATCCTGACTGCACATGTGCTTGCTAAAGGGCAGCTGAGTCCTAGTATTGAATTCTGTCTTCCAGGCTGAAACGCTCCTCTGGGATCCCCTCTTGGCCGTTCCCTTCTTCCTGAGGAACGGCAATCACATTATTCAGCCTCGTGCATCAAGGTGGCGAGTCTAATCCAGCACAGATTAGTTCCAACCTAGTTTTACCCTCTAATGCGCTGGGCTGTGGGGAAGGAATTCAGCCTGCCCGAGAGCAGGTGCCTGCTTCCCCCATCCAGGGCAGGCGCGAGCATCCCTCGGCCCCTTCCCAGCCCCAGCACGCAGGACGGCTGGCGTCGAGAACTTAAACAGCCCGGTGGGAGCTTGGCCTGCTGGTTGGAGATGCCTTTTGGGGGAGCAGGGAAGGATTTGGCTTTGCTCAGGTTGTCTTGCGGGTAGCTGGGACTTGGGTGGCTGAATTTATTGGCTTAGAAAAGTCTGTCTGCCCAAGAAAGGCAGCTCAGGGCAGGAGCCGAGGAGAGGCTTATTAAGCAATTCTTATTAATAGAACATGCACCTTAAAATGGGAGCTTTAGCAAAGGGCTGTAAGGAGGAACTTCAGCCATTGGGCTGAGTCTGAGTCACTGGCCCTGGGGACTGAATTCCTCTGTGCCATTGGGAGTGCTTGCCTTATCGCAGTCACAGCCTGACTTGCATACAATGTGGAGGGTGGAATGCCTTTGAAATATGCTCCCCAGTTGCTTCATTTGGTCTGCAGCAGAGCTGTGACACTGGTGGGCTGTCCAGTTCACCTCCAGTTAAAAAGCAAGGGGACTGGGTCCTAGGGGTGTCACCCATCCTGCTCTTCTACCACGCTGCCAGGGGCTGTTGGACCCCGGGGCATGTGTCCTTCAGCCATCCTCTATGGATGTAGCATTCCCTTCGATCTTCACCATTCCTGTGCTGCTTCTTGCTCCTGGAGAAATACTGCTTTGCCTCCCCTGTCCTGCTGGGAGGTGGAAGCTGCCTGCTGTTCCTGCAGGGTAGGAATGAAGCTGTGACCTGGTGACCAGGAGATCCTCTGGCCCTGTTTTGGTTCTCAGTGATGTTTGGCAAGTTCCTTCTAGAGAGGCTGTTCAGTGGCAATGGCAGTAGGTAAGACTACTCCGCTCTCTGGTGGCTTCTGCTGCTGGCTGAGCCCAGGTCTCAAAGCTGAATTGGGCCCTTTGTGTTGGGCTGGCAAACGATACCCCTGGGTAGAAATAACTGAGATAAATGAAACTGAGTTGGCAAAGGAGGGTGAAAGAAGGAACTGGGAACACTGCTTTTCACCACAGCTCTCAATTTGAGTTGGTGTCCATGGTGATAAGGGAAGTCTGTGTCACGCTGGCTTAGTGGGCATGGCCTCTGGTGTCCCATCTGGAGTCTGTGAGATGGGAGGAGGGGATGGCAGCCACTTCTGTCCTAGTGGGCTTCCTACAAAACCTTAGTTTAGCTGCGCGTAAAGGACTCGCCAAAGTGGTGGCTAACTGGCAGTGAAGGTTTGAGGCATTCGGACTCCCTGGGTAGGTCCAGGCTTTCCTGTCCCAGCGAGGAAGGAGGGAGAGACTCTGGGCGTGAGGGCTGGAGGGGCCTGGAGCTTGTGCTGTGGGGTTAGGGTGGCAGGCAGCAATTCGGCATGAAAGGCTCAGGGCTGGCTCCGTGGCAGGCATGCCAGGAGGGCATTTGGGCTACTGATGGCTGTGGGGCCCTCCTGCGGTCCTGGTGTCTGCAGACGGGGCTTCTTTTGGGGGGAGGGTGGGTGTCTCATGAATCACAAATGATGCTGCCCCAGTACCACCAGTGCTGGAGGCCCTACTCTCTTGGGGACCCACTCCTGCCTTCCTTGTGAGCATGGCTGACGGTGGTGGGGAGCACGTGCCCAGAGCAGGGAACAGCCTCAGCCCTCTACCCACTCTAACCCCATGGGTTTCATCCTGGACAGGCAGCGCACAAGCTGCGCAGATGTTAATGATTTCCGCACCAAAGAATGCGCTGGTGTTGCTGAGCACAGATCGAGTCACTGAGCTGTGCCGGGCCCGCTGGAGCGAGGCGGGGTGGGAGGGCAGAGGCAGGAGCCAGACCCCGCTGCTCACAGCCGCGGGGGGTGTTGCTGGCAGGGCGTAGCGGTGGAGCTGGCTGGGCAAGTTGTGGTCTGTTCTCTCTGGTACCTGGAGGTTTTTGAGGTGGGGTAGGGACGAGTGACCAGATCTGACCCAGGATTTCCTCTCCAGCCTGAGCAGGGTAAAATGAATAGGCAGTTTGAGAGAGTGTGAGCCTGTTCCTTCCACCAAGATAGCTGTCCGTCCTTGGTGTGTGATGTTCTGCAAACTTTGCCTGTTCTGATTGCTAGCCCTCAGCGTTACCATGAGTTTGAAATCTCTGAGATCAGAGTGCTTTTTGTAAGGAATAGGAGCCCTTGCTGGGAATAGGTGCCTCATCCATGTGCTATGTGTGCTTAAGCAGATATGTGGGGAGCTGAAACCTTGGGTGAGCAAGAAGAGGGGGTTTCATGCAGTTATTCCAAAGGCACATGGGGTCCAATCCTCCCTCAAGCTGTTGGTGGGAAATCAGAGACACCAGAGGTATTCGCCTCACACTGGAATGTTAATGACAAGGTGTGGAGGGATTCAACCTATTTTCAAGCCTCCTGGGACTGTTGCTCAGATGTGGCGCTCTGGGAATTGCGTAGGTCTTCTGGGTAACGCTGCATTCGTACATGCCCTCTAGGGTGTTTTCCTTTGCATCTTTAACCTTGGGGATACTGGGTTTTTTTCTGTTTTAGGAATTTCTGTGTGACCCAAAGTTCAGTGATGAAGAAGATCTGGAGGAGAAGTTGGCAGTGTTCAAAGGTGAGAACTGGAGGGTTGCCCTGTCCTTTCAGCCTGACTATTTGCTCTGAACAGATTGTTTTCCTCAGCACATTGATCTTACCAGCCTGAGACTCTCTGCCGAATACAAGTGACTGAGCTGGGATGGATGCCTCCCCCTTGCTTGTCAGACTCGGTGAAACTCTCCAGAGAGGTGGTTTTCCCACATAAGCCTTTTCGCTTCCCCCACTTTCTCTCGCAGGGCAGGGACATGTCACCCTGCAGACATCCTGCCTGGTGGCTGCTATTACTGCAAAACCTGCTGCGTGGGCAAAACCCCAGGGAGCAGCAAAGGAGGACAGTTTCTGTCTAGATACCTAGACAAGCTAGCTGGTATAATGGACAATGCAGTAGCTGTACTCTTTTTCTTTTTGCAGTGAGTAGGAGGACCTTTTCCCACAGAGCAGAGGTCTCAGCTGCTTTGTGAAGGAGTTGGGGACTTTCTCTCCCCAAAAGTTTCTTCAGTCGGATCTGGTCCTTCCTGAGCCCCTTAATACCAGAGGCAACAGCAGTAATGTGCCTCTAGTCCTGGCCAAAGGCTGACTCCAGTGGGTCAGCAAATCTGGATCTTAGGTTTGGGCTGTTTGTTCGTATGGGGGATAGAGAGCTCAGAAGCCTGGGGTCCTCTGGAGCTTGTCCCCAAAGTGATTACAGGATGAGATTTGGCAGGGCTGTTCTGGGTGCATCCACTTTCTTTCCAAGCAATGGTTGAAGGCAGTTGAGAAAACATGCTTTCTGCATCACATTGCCCTCAAGCTTTGGCCTCAGCCTGGCTCTAAGCAAATAAAGCCTGATGTTGCTTCCATTTGAGGCATTGTCTGCTATTTCCCTTTGAGTTTTGGCTTTGCAATCCAGCGTGGAAGAATCTGGCCAGGTTTTTGTGATCCTTTACCGTGCTGGGGACAGAGGAGCCTCCTGTGTGCCCTGACTTTTTTTTTTCTGTTGCCTTTTGTATGGCCTTGGCTTTTGGCTGCAGCCCCGCATTATTTTTGCCATCACAATTGGGGCTCTTCAAACATTGCAACTGTAGGTCGCAGGCGCAGAATTCCCTGTAACGAGAGCCCTTGGCATCTCCTCCACTGCCTCTTCAGTTTGCCTCCGTGGCCTGTCCCACTCTCTGATGCCTCCTCCAGCTCCTCCAACAATCGGCTCATTGTGTGATGATGGTGGGAGTGTTTCTTCTCTGCCGTCCTTCCCGCTGCCCTCCCCAGCCAGGCCCGGGGAGCCCCTGCGCAGTGTTTGTGTAAATGCCTTTCTCAGGGCAGGGACCACGCGTGATTTTGCCCCACCAAATCCCTGCAGCTGGGATGGGAGGGAAAGATGAATGTGCGAGCCGAGGCTCAGAGCATGATGATGTAAAGCTGCCTCTGTTTTCTGCGTGTTTGGCTAAGTGTCAGCTGAGAAGAAAAGAAAACGTGTGCTGGACATGGCAGAGCAGGATTTGTGTCCCCGAGCACATGCTGGCGTGCCTGACCCCCACCCAGGGAGGCGGCAGTTCATTTGCACAGGGTCATTACGGTGGGGCAGAGTGTGGGGAGAGCCAGTTCCACTTCAAGCATTGCTTTGGCCCCTAAGCATGTGTGTGACATCCCAAATGTCATCTAGGATCAGTTGCTTAATGTTTGAAGGGAGACATTTATTCCTGCCTGAAGCATGAACAGCTTTGGTTTGCATGTGGTGTTCCTGTAGGTCTGTCCTGGTCAGCTCATGACAGCAGTAATCCACCAGCTGGGATGCAGGTGAAGACATGCCAAGCCATTCCTCTGCCTCCCTGCCTGTAGTGGTCCATCAGTCCAGTTAACCCAGCACTTTCCTTCAGAAACACAGGTCCTGGGAAGGCTCCAATGTGTGAAATATCCACTCTTCTCTTTGGCTCCTTAAATTAGCCTGCCACTTCTCTGTTTGTGCTTATCTGCTTGCTGGTGTCCCTGGAGCAGAGGCAGAAGGTCTTTTTCCTTGGGGGAAAGGAGCAGACTGGGAACTCTCACTTAATTTGTGTCCTCTGAGGCTGTTCTGGGGTGTGAGTGCTAACTGCAGGGCAAGTAGAGATTTCTCCAGCTCGGTGTGGAGGGATGGTGGCAGCAGGCATCTCACTCTTCTCATTTAGCAGAACCGAGATGATGGGGGGCCCTGTCGCGCGCGGAGCTGTATGGTCTGTATGACAGGCAAATCTTTGCCTGAAGACCTTAAAGTCTAAATGGGGAACAGCTAGCAAAGAGGGGGAGGTGGGTAGGTTGCACACAGGTGTGCCACTCCAAAGGTCAGAAGCAGCACAGGACTGAAATCCTGATTTTTCTAACTCAAATCAGTGTTCTGTCTGTTAAGGCATGCCAGTTTTTGTCCTGCAAAGCTAACCAGACCTTCTTGAGCAGGTTCTGCTTTTCTCTGAGGATGCTGGAGTTGCCCGATTCAGCAATGTTTGACAGCAGGCTGGAAGGGCAAACAGTCTGTTCCAGTGTAGCTGCTCCCAGGCATGCTCTTGGCTTCGCCCTCTTGATGTGGTCCTTGAGCATCTCTGCTGGCCGGTGCTGCTCTGGGAGCGCAGTGCAGCATTAGGAGGACTGTAGAGTCTGTCCCTTGCTATTGCAGGCAACTACGTCATTTAATTCCCTTCCTAATCCGATCAAGCTTCATTTTGGGAGTGCTCAGTGTTTTGTTTTCCTTGCTACTCCTTCTGGGAGGCTGTTGCAGAGCTTTGTTTTTCTGGCTGGAAACCTTGTGGCTAGCTGATACCTTGTTCTCATGCCAGTGTTTTCCTTCAGCTTAAATGAAAAGCAGCCACAATTAAAGAGCACTTAACTCTACAGCCCTGGAATTGAGATAAGGTGCTAAAACCCCAGGTCTTGAGATGGTCTTCCCCTCTGAACTGTTTGAATTCAGCAGTATATCAATCTTATCCCCTAATCTTTCATTTCATTGCTCTAAGCAGGGCAGGGCTCCAAAGCCCTGCACACCTCCTGCTCTAGCATCCTGCTAATTTGCTTCTGTGTCTCTTCCAGAGAAGTACATGGAGTTTGACCTGAACAACCAAGGCGAGATTGGTGAGTGACTCGGGGATGCGAGTGCTGGAAGAGCAACAGCCTGCTGAGGTGCTGTCTGCTGCTGTATCTGCTGCTTTTCCCTGCACTCTTGTTGCTGAGGGGGAGAAACTGTGGGCTGCTGCTATGTCCAGCCTTGCTTGGATCTTGATTGCCAGCCAGGGGCTTCCTTGGCTCTCCAGCTGCTGCCTCTCAGCTTCCTCAGTGTCTCCTTACATGCCTCAAGATCTAAGCTCTTCTAGGTCCTGTTCTCCTCCTGAGTCTCTGCTTAGCTCCTCCACTTCTTTCTGCTCTAAATGCTTTTTTTTTTTGTTTTCTTCCTTTTTTTCTCCACTGAGGCTGCCTTTTCAATCCTTAGCATTTCCAGAGCCAGGAGGCTGCAGAGCTTGGACAATCCTGGTCTTTGCCTGGCTTGAGGCAGAAGCTGTATAAAACTATGAGCGCTTCTAGAGCAGAGAAGCTCTTTGCTGGGAGGGGAGTGGAGGGAAACAGGGGACTTTGGTGTGAGTCTGGCTCAGCTGAGCGGCCCTGGTTTGGGCCTAGAAAGCACCAGTTACATAAAGGTCCAGGCTTCTGCAGGCCTGGAGCTGACACCGAAGTGCAAGCACTCACATGCTGTGCCCTTCCAGGAGGCTGCTGCCTCGCTCCCCTCCTCCACCAGTCCTCGAGCTGAAGTAAAGCCTGTGGGGAGCTGGAGGAGGCCAGAGTCAGGGCTGCGCGGCCGTTTCCGGGAGGGAAGGGGCTGCAGGTCTCAGCAGGCAGCAAGAGCAATGGAAGGAAATGGCCTGTGGCGATGGGCAGGGGCGCCCGCTGTTTGTTTCTGGCTTTAACCCCAGCGTTGCTTCCCTCCTCCCCATCCTTGTGATTCTTGGCACCACACTCTGAGCTAGCGAGCAGTGTCCCCACGTGTCACTGGAGCACTTGTCCCTCTTCTGTGTGAGTGCTGCTTTTATTTTGAGCTGCACAAATGGGAAGTGATGCTCTGTACTGGGCAGTAAGCTGTACTGCCAAGGCTTCTCTTGGCCTTCAGCAACAGCTCAATGCTGTCAGCCCCAGAGTCTGCAGGAGAGGTGGTCTGAGGTGGGAACTCATGCCTACGTCCATAGGGTTGGTCTGTGCTCAGTGTGGTCACCTCTCAACAGCACCAGTTGCCTTGCTCTTGCAGATTTAATGTCTGTCAAAAGGATGATGGAGAAGATGGGGGCTCCAAAGACCCACCTGGAACTGAAAAAGATGATCTCTGAGGTGACTGGAGGGGTCAGCGAGACCATCTCGTACCAGGACTTCGTCAACGTGATGCTTGGGAAACGCTCCGCTGTGCTTAAACTGTGAGTGTCCCTGGGAGGGAATGGGGGAGATGCAGGTCGTGAGCTGGCGTGTTGGGGGAGCCGGGAAGCAGAAGCTGTTCTGCCTGGCAGAGGTGGAGCTGTGCATGTTTGGTGCTCGTGGAGGGGCGATGAGGACCTTTGTGAAGGAGGAGTTTGCAGAGAGACATGACAGGGTGTAAAAGCCCATGTCTGGGCTGAGCAGCGGCGAGTGCTCACTGCGGAGCTGCCTGCGGTGTGTTAGCACGGGCTTCCTCCCACGTGCTCCGTGCAGAGCGATTCTCCCCCTTTCCCGAGGGTGTGCAGGCACTCGGCACTGCAGGACTCCTTCTCATCTCTTCCCTGTGGCTCCTGCTGACTTTGGGGATACAGGCTTCCCCTGTGAATGGTGACTTGAGCATGAATGATGGTCCTGCCAACAACAGCAGTGCTGGCTCCTATTTCCCACAGGATGCTTCCTCCCTGCCTGATTCTGGAGAGACTGGCAGCAGATGGAGAGAGAGGACACATGCTTGAAACAGCTGGCTTGTGCTGTGAGAGGTTTTCTGTGGTACAGGCTGCCAGCAGTAGCCTCCCACGGCCCCCTCTGCCCTCTCGACAGGGCTCTGAAAGTCCTGCTGTAACAAATGGCTCCGAACACTTGCTTGGCTCCATCTCCTCCCCATTGAAGCCTGGCTTTTCCTTTCACAGCCGCAGAGGCTGGCCCTGCTTTTGTGTCTGTAACCACCATGAACAGGAGCTGGTCCTCTCCATCCCCCTTGCCTCTTTCTGGAGGCAGCTTTAGAAACACAGCCAGCTTTCAGGGCAGGTTGGGAGGAAGGATCTTGCACCCACCTCTCACATGGTGTGTCTAAGCCAGTAAGTGCTTGCTGGCGATGAGTCTCTCCTCTGCCCACTGAGTGCCCTGTGTCTGCATGTTGGGATGTTCCACTTCCAAGCACTCACAGACTTCTGACACCCCTGTTCCACCTTTCTTTCTCCACAGAAGCGGGCTGAGCCTGCAGCCTGTCCCGTATCTTCCATACTTTCTCCAAACTGCAGCAGCTTTCACAGATGGGTCCCTTCTCTTGCTAACAGACACCCCATTGTCTGTTGGACTCTTTAGGGCAGGAGCAGAAATGTAAAACTTGTCCCAAGAGCAGTGCAGTCCTTTGATCCAGCGTGGCAGCTGGCATTCCCAGCATAGCTGCAGTCCTCAGGGAGGAAGACAATGCTGGTGGTTGCAAAATGCTTGAGATTCTTCTAGCCGGTGTCTTGCTCCTTGTCTCTGCCCTCTTTCCTGGCTGTAATTGCTGTTGCTTGCTTGGTGTTGGCTTTTGAATGTTCTGCTGTGTGGTTATGCACAAGGTGGGCCAGGGATGGTATTTGCTGTTATGCATCAGGAGTACTTGGCATGCAGTGTGTGCCCAGGGAATTTTGGAAGCGGCTGTTTAAGTAAAACGTGCTAATGCTCTGGGCTGGGAGAGGAAAACCAGCAGAGGCTTTGGGAACCCACTCCTGGAAGCTGCTGGAAAAGCAAAGCTGCCTGCCAGGCTGGCACCACTGCCCTCTGTTGGGTTTCCCTCCTCTGTTAATTATCGGATGCTGTTTTTTCAGCAGGTAAGATAATCCCACCCCCAATGATGGGTAAAGATGCACCTGCTTTTTTCATTGGTATTATCTGTTGTGTTTTGCAGGGTCATGATGTTTGAAGGAAAAGCCAATGAAAGCAACCCAAAACCTTCTGGTCCGCCTCCAGAGAGAGACATAGCCAGCCTTCCTTGAAGAGGACAGGCTGAAAAATTGGCACTGTTAGCTTTGCTGGTCTGTTACAGAGGTTACCTGTGCTTTTTTACTGTGGACAGTCCTAGTTTTCAACTAACCTGCCTTAGAGGAACAGCAAGGGAAGCTGGAGACCCCCACCTCATGTCTTACTGCTGCATCCCTTAGCCAACTTGATTTGTTAGACAGAAGCTGTAGCACCAAGCGTAATGTGAGACCAAAAAAAAAAAAATCCTGTGATGTTACTCCTTCCTCTGCCCTTCCTGTATTTCTCAGATGAGGAGCTATTTTCCTCCCAGTGTATGGGTTCAGAGCCGTGCTTGTCACAACAGGTTCCTAAAGCGCCTTGCTGCCAGGTGTTGAGCGCTTCTCTGGCAAAGCCCCTGACAGCAGCTTCATGGGTGCAAAGAAATAAGTGCCTTCTCTACTCAGTCCTATGCTCCTTGACCGCAGACTAATTCTTCCCCTCCTGACCTCACCAAAACACCAGTCAAGCTCCCACCTCTGTGGCCCAGTCGCATGCTAGGTGAACGTGGGAAGGTGCATGGACCCAGAGGTCTGCCTGCAGGGCCTCTAAGCTTGGAGGTGGGCATGGCTGACTGCAGGGACAGCTCCTGCCTGCTCTGTGGGTTCACCCTGCAGTCAGATCTCTGTCCAACATCAGCCACCGCAAGTGAGGATGGTTGAAGCTACTTTAGGGACCCTCATCCTGATAAATCTCTACTTGGATCCGATCGGGAGCATAACCTTTGAACGGGTGGTTGTCTGTCCTGTCCATCGAGTGTAGAAGCAAGCCTGCTGTTATGCCTGTGCAGCTCCTCAGGAAGGCCCAGGGGAAATGAAACCTTCAGGTGGAAGGAAGCTGGGTGACTAAACTGTGAGTCCTGCCAGACCAGTTGTGGATGAGGATGTGTCCTCATGCAGCTGCTCTGTCCCTCTGATTTTGCGGACCTCCCTGTATGTGTTTCAGCTTGGTCCCCTGGGACTACTGGGTACATTTCCCTGATGGATAAGCCCTGAAATCTGCAAAATAAGAATGGCTGTAAGTGTGGAGTATGAGCTGGGATCCAGATGTAGCTGGGACTGCGCTATCCATGCTCTGGTTACTGTGGTGATTCTTGCTCCATGCACAATTTCTGGAATCAAGATGTTTGCTCCAAAATTTCCCTACTTTTCTTAAATGTTCTTGGCAGCTTTTAACCTTTTTTAATCATGGTTAAATAAATAATTTTTTTAAAGGAAATACAGATGATTAACTCTACTAGGCTGATTGTTCCTGTCAAAGGCTGCACTTTTAAATAAAAAAAAATATTAAAAGAGAAAAATTATGAGCAAAAGCAGCACCAGTCTACTTTAAGGACTGAAAATAAATCTTCTGAAGCTACACTGTGTGTTAGTGTATTTAGTTTAGCTCCTCTGAAGCTTGGTCCATATGCTTGGTTGCAGATTAAGTGAGCTGGTTTCAAAGTCTGTTAATATAAACCCTTAACTAGATCCTAGAGATAGGTCTGAACTGTCTTGATCTGATCTTTATCTGTAATAACTGACTGAATGCCATGGAGTTTGTGTTATGAAATGCAGAGGCTACCTCCTGAAAGCTGTCTTTTTTTTTTACTTACTGAAAGAAAGCAGGTGGTGGTGCTTGTTTTAAGGAATAACTTGTTTATCAAGGGCAGACACTTGTAATGCTTCTGTTGAAAGAGTATTTTTTTCATCCTCTCTGCTCTTGAAGCAATTGCTTGGGATGGTTGTTGGAGGTGAGTTATCAAAATGGACTAGGCTTCCTGGGGGAATGACTGGGTACACTTTCCACGTGTTCCTGAAAAGGACAGAATTGCCTTTAGATCACAGCCCTGCGTCTGCTTTCTGCTGCCTGTTAGTCTCTGGGAATGTACCTGCTTTTCTGGGCTATGTGCGTTAAAGCTGTTGTTAAGTTAGAAAATAAAAGGAGCATATTACATGAGGGAATCATAGAATCATTAGGGTTGGAAGGGACCTTTTGAGGTAATCTAATCCAACCTCCCTGCAATAAGCAGGGACATCTTCAGCTAGACCAGGTTGCTCAGAGCCACGTCCAACCTGACCCAGGATGTTTCCAGGGATGGGGCATCTACCACCTCTCTGGGCAACCCGTGTCAGGGTTTCACCACTCTCATTGGGAAATACTTCTTCCTCATATCTAGTCTAAATCTACCCTCTTTTAGTTTTAACCTGTTCCCCCTTGTCCTGTCGCTACAGGCCCTGCTAACAAGCCTGTCCCCATCTTTCTCATAGGCCCCCTTTAAGCACTGGCAGGCTGCAATAAGGTCTCCCTGGAGCCTCCTCTTCTCCAGGATAAGTCCATCTCTCTCAACCTGTCCTCATAGATGTGTTCCATCCCTCTGAGCATTTTTGTGGCCTCCTCTGGCCCTGCTCCAACAGGAAATTGGATGTTGTTTGCCACAGTTCAGGTCACTGACCAAAGCCATCACTGCTTTTGTCTCTTGTGGAAATCCTTGTCCTGGTCCTGGAAAAGACAAGCACACCCTGCTAGAGCTGGAAACAGCCTTTCTCAACGTATTCTTGTCCCCACAGGGCCATGGGCTAAGGTGATGTACCCCTTGTGCTGACACTCTGAGTAGGGACTGAACCCCCTTGAACTTCAGGCTGGGGGGAGCAAGGAAGGAAACCCAGGTCCTGCTGTGACTAAAAAAGCACATGCTGCTTTTGTGGGACCCTGGAGTGCAGTAAGGTTGTCCCCACTCACAGAGCTTCTGGCCCATCTGCAGGTAACAGGAGGTGTATAGGGACTGAGAGCAAACATTGGACTGTGTGCTCCCGCTGCAGTCCACGCTAAGGGAGCAGGATTTGCTTAGAGCTGCAGTGACAGCAGGCCTCTCCTGTGGGAAACAAATCAAAGGCCCTTACCAGTGGAGCAGCCGCCCCCCGGCCCCTGCTATCACAGCTGGGACAGCCAGCTCGTCAGCAGCCAGGCCCCTTGCCCTCAGGGCAGCTGCGGCCCAGCCCCAGCGCAGCCCGTCCCCTCAGGGCCGCTGTGGAAGCCACCATCCTGGCCCCATCGGGGTGGATCTCCTCAGGGCAGAGAAGGGCCACTGGGTGCGGCCTGCAGCACCCACCGGGAGCGCCACCGGGGCAGGCCCCACCTCAGAACATAACGAAAAAAGCGTTTATTAAACTCAGCTGCTTGCTAAGCCTCGCCGTGCAGGCAGGCGCTTTTCCTCCCCTCCGGTAGCGCCTGAGCCCCGCAGCAGCCCAGCTCGCCTGCGGCAAGGCGGGACCCAGTGGAGGACTCAGGAGCATCGAGAGCGGTGGGTAGAGCGGCCCCCCAGGAAGCGGAAATGGGCTTCACGGCGGGCGGCGG